TTGGAGGGCTGATCCTATACCACTGATCTCAAGATAATCACTACTTCTCACCTTTTGGTGGCCACATCTCTCTGTAAGCCGTAGTCTCTTTCTGACATCACATGCTTAAGGAACAGGCAGCTAAGCCATTGAACAACAGAGTAGGTGTATTTCTTAGAATACAATCTTGATACACTAGTTAACTGCACAGTTTACTCTTCTACAGACAGCTCTGTTGTTTTTTTCTGTTTGTTTGTTTGTTGGTTGGTTTTTTTGTTTGCTCTTTTAGAAAGCTCCACACTGAACAGTTACATAAGCAGTGTTAAGAAATTGCTTTCCTGTCTGTACTGTGGGCCCTGGCAGTAACGCCCAGCTGCTGAATCTAGCTGTATGTCCTGGTCACATTATTTTGAGGTGGAAGTTCAACCTGTGTAATTTCTTCTGATAAAATGGGAAAGGAAAGCAAGGTGTATGGACCTGAAGAGATACGCCCAAGAGATCTCTTATCTAGCTTACACAAGGGAACAGCCCTGCAGTGGTCATTACATCTTCGTCTCAGAAGTAAATAAGATGAAGCTTGCCTAGTCAGCTTTAAAGTTGTTGTTGACACACTAATTGGCCTTTTCAAGGATAGCTCCTTACTGACAAGGGAATTAATTGATTTTGCATGATTTGCTAGTTGCTAGAAATTTTGTTACACCATAAGCTATATGTAACTGATCCACACATTCATGCTTCTCCTAATGTACTTCATCATTTGCACAGGAAATTTTTATACCCATCTTAACTACCTCCTTATGACCCAGGGAACGAGCAATACAAACGGAGTAAGCAAAGAGAGCAAGACAGATCTCACTACTTTATTTATCAGAGCAAATGACAATCAGCTACCCAAATCTTTAGGAATATCTATTCTCAGAATTAGCTAGCATTTCACCATTTCCCTACATCTCTTTCTGTGACTGTCTTCAAAGCCCTTCTAGATGAGAATAAATTTCTTCACAGGCAGTGTCTGCCTCTCTACCCACACTTCCACAGTATATGAGGAAATAAAAATTTGGTTTGCCTTGAGAATATTTTACTCACATATTTCTGATAACTCTCTTAAGGTATTTCATATTTTTGCTGACACATTTTCTAGATATATCTATGCATACTTTTCTTCTGTTTTAACGATTAAAATGCAGATGAGATTAAATAAGAGCATAAATTAATCTCAAAATCTATTTCTTCTGAATTCCAAATGACAAAGAACGCCAACTTTCCCATTTTTTTCTACTTCTGCCTAAAAATTCATTTTGTTTCTTTTTAAGTTTCAGAAAATAAAGATATGTTTCAAATATCTTTAAAAAATGAGTTCCCTGAAACTATTCTCAGAAATTTTTACTACAGTGCAGTAACATTATGTTTAAAAACATTGTTTAAAAACATAAAGCATTAATAAAAACAAATCAAAATATAAACACTTTATAATTATTTCCCTGTGAAACAAGATAAACAAGTTAACTTTAGAAATACATAACAACTAAAAACGTATTCCCTTACATGTTAATTAGTAGTTTTTGCTTTTCAAGGAGAATAATTTAGTAATTTTGGGAGGCTCATAAATGACCTTTCTGGATCAAATTTATGTATCAGTAAACGTATATAATCTTTGGAGCTTAGAATCATAGAATCACAGAATTATCAAGGTTGGAAAAAGAACTCCATGATCATCCAATCTAACCATCCACCTGCCACCAGTATTTCCCACTAAACCATGTCCCCACTATCCCAGCCACTATCAGTTCCAGAAAGCCTACAAGACAAGAAATAAGGACACCAGTGCACATCTGAAGCTTATCAAAATGTAATCTTTTTTTTATTATTATTTGTTTTGAGGACTTTAAGAGGAAAAAAAAAAAGGTTATAAAATTTTTTGATTCCTTAGGCATACATTCTGTGAAGCAGGTTGCAAGAAACACTATTCTTGTCATTCTAGATAGCTGTAGGTAGGACTCTTCATAACAATGTGCATGTCACACATCCTCATGACTTTCTGTATGTGGTTTTTGTTTGTGATAGACTATTGAAACTACATAGGTAATACCCAGTTAAAATGAATTTCCTCTATGATTGCTAGGTTCTTTTCTTATGCTGTATTAACAAGACCATACATTTCTATAGATATCAGTAGCTTAAAAAATGGCTCAAGCTGATTTATATCAAGTCAGTGCTTTCAGACCTGAAGCTCTGTTGTGAGGGATGGATGGTACTGCTGGAATGCTTAATTAGAAGTGTTAAAAGAAATACTAAAAAAAAAAAAAGATGGATGATACTTAGCACAAAATACAACAGGATTGTGAACAGCACCACAAGAGAAATCATTCTAGTGGTTGTTACTTTTTTTTCCTCACCATAAAGCTGCCTTTTTTCCTTCACAGGAAACTGTAATGGATATAAGAAAGGGCTGTTTTTTATTCTCTCCTTTTCCTACTATAGTATGACCCATTCTTTAAATTTGCTTCTTCATTTCTGTTCCTCATGTTTTCTCAAGCAGTGCTATCAGGGAACTTCCTTGCACCTCTTTAAAAATATTCCTGAAGACCAACCGGTTCTGTGAACTGTTTTAGCCATAAAGAACACACCCCATATGTGTTTGTTCTGATTTATCTTCCTCTGTACTGCTCTACTTTTGTACTTCGTACTTTAAACTGGGGCAGGGAATATTTGTTGTATAAATATATAAATAACGTCACAAAGACCAAAGTTGGCATGTAGAGATTTTTCTCCCCCAACTCCCCTCCCCCCTTTTTTAAAAAATTTTAATTGTTGCATTATGTATATCAAAATATGTTGCTATAGAAGTTATTCCTATTCTTAGGGATAACACAAAAGATAATTAAATATCCTATGCTGGGGAAATAAAGATGTTTTTAAATTGCATTTTTCATACATGTTTTTTTTTTCCCTTTCTCTACCAGAAGCAAAACATGTTTTATGGAACTGACCAACATACTATATTATATAAAGTAGGTTTTACTGTTCTGTTTTTCACAGTTAATAAGCATGAAGCACGAATATCTTGGTTTACAGAAATTATTGTAACTAGTTAGAAATGACCTATGGAAATCAGCTAGGTAGTTGGCTCAAGGTTAGACAGTTAATGAATATTCCAATTAAAAGATAAATGAGGATATGTAATTCTTAGACTGTCCTTAATTTAATGCACATGTTTGTGCTTTTACTCAGCTTAATCATTTTAAATGTGCTCATTTTAGTCACCTGCATGAGTTGATGCATTTATTCAATTTTAACTACGAAGGAGAACTTTATGGAGAATTAACCTATATAATCATGTTTAAGATATATATGAGGTAAACCTTCCTCCTACTCTGCAATTATAAAATAGTTTGGACATCAGTCTGTAAGTTAAGGTATTTACTTAGGCACTAAATTATATTCTAGATTTGCGGACCCGAAGTGCCTTCATTTTTTGAGCTAAATTTATAGGTGAATCACTGACAAATGAGTTTCTCACACAGACTTCATTGTTTTTGGTCATGACTATCTACCTATGCATGCACATTTGACAAGTGGATGGCTGCCTACAGTAAATTATAGCCTATATTAATCTAAGACATGCATGGAACTGATGATGTCACACTCCTGTCAGTTCACAGTATGAAATATTCCAATTTTTTATTTGTCAGAATATTTCAGAAATGAAAGATGGAGAATCATGTGTAGTTAAGTCCTAAGGAAGATATAAAGGAATGAGAATGGAAAATGAACAAATGTATTTCTCTTATCGTGGAAACCTAAATGTGTGATTCCAAGAATAAATAATAACCTTGGATAGATACAAAAGGTGAAGTATTATTAAATCAAAACATTTTTTAAAATATGTATTTCTCAATTAATTTTCTAGATCTTATCTCAGGTACAGCTTGCATTACATGCCCAGGTATATTTTGTTGTTGTTTCTTTTCAGAGAGGCATTCAAATTCACTGGCTCAGATACCTTTGTCCACAGAATTTTGTAAAAAACACGTTTTTCATTTTCTTATCCTGAGCTCTCCTGTCCAGCTGACAAATTCCAAATGACTATTTGGATTCAAGTTCCACATTGCACTCTACCAAAAATTTTTTTTGCTACTTTCTGAGAAGATCAAGGCTACAACACTTTGTAAGCATTCATAAGAATGACAACATCCAGTCAGAACATTATAGATGGTAGAACACAAGCTGACCACAACATTGTTAACCTAGAAAGTTGTTCTTTCCTACAGAGCTTAGATCTCCTAACTGTAGCCTAAATTAAAAAACAAAACAACAATTTCAATGGAGATATAGATTTCGCTTGGTGAAAGGAATGAGACTTCTTTGTAGAGATAGCCAAATAATATCAAAGAACTAGTTACAGTCTGAAAATAAATTTTACTCTTGTTGAATGTACTCGGTTTTAGCAAGTGCTCTTAATTGATGTGCTTCAGTTAGTCACAATGCTGAAATGGCCTATATTAAACTCAGGTTGTATTCTTGCTTGACAAAGAAAACACGGAGCTTGGATGAAAAAGTTTTCCTGTAGTATCAAAGTTTTCCTGTAGTATCAAAGTTATCCTGTAGTATATATTAGACTTATTCCCTAATACAGGTCAGCTGAATCTATCAGGTAACTAAAATGTTCTAAAGTATTCATATAAACAGACCAGTCTCATGTAGGTGGAGCTCTATTGCCTTAGGTGCCATATTATTACACCTACGTGGGATTTCACTGGGCTTTGTAAGAAGGAGAACGTTGTCTGCTGTAACTCTACGCAGCGCCATACATCTTAGATAGATGACGTAAAGAAGCCACTGCACATACATTCAGTTGTCAATACATATGCAATTAGGTGGTAATATTTTGGACAGCTGTCCTTACCAGTCTAATAATCCATGTTCTGTCACATGGCATAATCTGTACAAGCCATGGAGAGTTAAGTGCATTTCAGTGTCAATTGCTGAAGCATGAGTATGTGAGAAGAGATAATGCTTACCAAGTTAATTTGTATAGTGCTTTCCCAGTCCTTCTCATTGTTCACTCCAGCATTATTAACCACAATATCCAGCCTTCCAAAATGCTCGATTACTTTTTTGAAAGCACCTATAGTAAAATCCAAAGGTGAAATTTCTTAGCACTTTTCATTCAGTTATACAACGCCCGATAACATGAGTTCTTAGCACTCATACATTTTGCATTAGGTTGGATATTTAGCACCTAATTATATAAACATGTATAGCTTGATCCTGTATGACTTTGATGTAATAAGTTCCAGAACTGTCCCCATATATTTTAAGTGTAATATAAAGGCCTTATTTGTTCAGAATGGTTTTAGTGACTGCCTGAATTTAATTAATGTAAAGAATGCACTTCTTATTCAGTGATGTAGCTAATACAGATATTTCAAATACAAAGAGTTCTTGATTAATTTTAATTTTTTAAAAAAATTATTATTAGATTTTTATGTATCGGGTAACATTAATAACATGTATGTCAAATTCACATCTTCTTTGTTCTGTTGATGAACATAATGAGCTGTCTTTCAAAGAAGCTGAAAATAAAGAACAGGGAAACTTCCACAGTGGCACTGTGTTGAACTAAGGTGAAAGATGTGTAAGGCAATGATGTCATAGTGATGAGCAAACTCATCTAGGCTGGCCCTGCTTTGACACCATAGTTGGATGAGATAACCTCCAAATGTTTGTTCCAAACTAAGTTTTTCCATGGCTGCAGACCTATCTGAAGTTATACAGTTTCTTCACAGGTTGTTCTTCCCTCCAAAAATGGATACACGTAACTTATCATTTATTATTATGCAAAATACCACTCTCCCAAATATTGTTTTAAAAAGAATCAGTTAATGACTGACTGAAAATCTTGATTATTTCAGGTATGTTGAAATTATGCTTGACAGGCCTTCATGAAATTACTTTCCTAAAAGCTGATACCATGACACTCTGAATTCTCTGGTCTTTCATCTTTGGCTACTAGTGTCAATCAAGGGTACAGTTGCAGCTTTGAAATAAACATTTCTATGTTTTTGTTTTGTTTTGTTTTCCAACAGTTGCAAGAGTTTACAATGTTTGTTTTATTTTGTTTTGATTTTACCATATGGTTGGTACTCTGACAGTGTTTTCTTGATGGATCTGAATGCTGCTGCAAGTTTGTCACAATCATCATCTTGACATCAGAACAAGAGCTTGGCAGCTGCTGGGAAAGGTTTTATCCATCCAGTTGCTCTTACTGTACAGATTTTTCAATGTTCTTAATATGTACTATGGTTTTTTATATTTTTAAAATCTCTCTTTTCTGCTTTCTTGATCATGTTACCACTCAAACATCACTGTAAATTAACCTGTTCTTCCCTTTTTGGATGTAAAGTTACTGTGTTTACACTGCAGAATAGTTGCTTAGAGCTTATTAAATCATAAAAAAGAAAAACTGATGATCATACAAAATGCTAATAATTAAAATGAAAGGGAGGATCAATTTTAACAGGTAAGAAAAACAGTGGAAAGTAAGTCTAAACACCAATCATAACTGTGCTTCCTAAATTTTCATGGTAAGCGAAAATAAATGTATGGTCATTTTTTTCAACTGAAGGTGAGAATATATGCAAGAGAGCCACCACAGGAAAAAGCAAGGAAAGATTTGGATATGGACAAAGTAATGGATTCCCTGCACATGAGCATTATGTACCTACAGACACTTGTTCTAGTCTTGTGATTTGTTTCATTTTGTAAGAGTTCAAGTTGAAATAAGATTATTAAAAATGTGACACTGAATGTAAAAAGAAGATATGCGACATGACACATCCACGAAGTACTTAAAACTCTAATGAAATTAGGCTTATTATGCAGAAGTTTGCAATTGCAAGTGAAGAAAGCAGAAAAATAAAGCAGTAACAAAACAAACAAACAAAAACAAACAAAAAAACCACAGAAACCCTAAAGGATTTTAAGTCACAATTGCAAATTTCTGTCACCTAACCCGCAAAGATAATAATACTGTATCAGAGAAGCATAGCAACTCCTTGCCCTTGATCCTTGCCATCCCTCCATTCCATTTCTGATTGCTCTTTTCCTCTAACTTGGTTGCAGAATTTCCTTCTCTGTGCCACCCTGCTCTTTCCAGTTCTGAGTGCTCAGCCTGCAGGCCGTGCAATAGCCTGGTGTGAAAAAGTAGAGGAACTATGGAATCAGGGTAAGAGAAAGCAAGTAAAAGCTGTGCTGCAGCACATGCTATTCCTAACCATAAGAGGCTTATTCTTGCTCCTGGGTTACTCCTCTCACTTGGAGAAAAAATCACTTATCAGCTTAGCTGATAAAAATAATGTTTGCTGGTTAGTGTATCTCCCACATTTATTGTCCAGCATCTCCAATGGAAAACATTTAAATCAGGCATAATCACACTACTTCAGAGCTAGGAACAATATTGCTGAGCTCTGGACTATCTGCAGTGTTTGTAAAAGAGGAATGATTGTGTTCACCTCTACTGTTGAGACAACAGCGAGAGCAGTGCAGTGTATAAAAGCAGAAGTAAAGGGTACGCATCCAACATGACACAAATGAATCTGGAAAGGACACAGACAAAAGCGATGTCGAATTCTGTATCTGACTGACTCATTACCATGTTTCTCTTAAGAATGGAACTTCAATGAAGTGATGTGGTAGTTATGAAATATTGTGTAGCGTACATCAACACTACAAGCTATTTTAAGAACTTACTAGGGTGCAGGATTTATTTGCTAAATAAAAAAAAACTGATCATAAATCCTGACAATGAATAATGGCAATCATACAGGAGAGAAGCTCTTTCCCATGACCTGCATATGCAAGACACATGCAGAATTCTATCAATCTGTATCAAAAACCAGGCTGAAATGCTGCCTCATCTTTTGTCAACCCTTCTTTCAGCTCCAGCAGCATATGTTGGACATAAGCATGCCATATGGAAAGATCACTGCAACCTGGAGCAGGATTTATTGCTCCCGTGATGAGAGAATGCAGCTTGGATTCTGTACCGAAGCCTCATAAAAAGCATGTCCGTGCTTTAAAGCTCATATATATTACTCATAAAATAACAAGTATCTTCTGCAGAGGCTTCCATGGAAAAATATCACACGGCACTCAATGGAAATAATTTCTTTGGCTTTTCTTTACGATGTGCCAAGTAACACAGTGAAATGCACGTGCGCTGGTAATAATATTTCGCATCCGCAGGTTCAGAAACAAGTCCTTTTTGAGTCACGGTCGGGCTGAGAGCAGGCTGCCCTCCAGAACCCCGAATTGCACACATCGGAGCGGCAGCCCGGGCTCCGTCAGGTCGCTGCATGTCGAGCCGGAGCCGCGCCGGCAGTTTCCTCCTTACCTTTCAGTTGCTCCGTGTCCGTAACGTCGCACTGGATGAACACCGTCCTCTGCGCTTCGAACTGTTCGTCCAGGGCCGCCTTGCTCTGCTGCCCGGCCTCGGGGTTGCGGTCCAGGAGCGCTACCTGCCCGGGAACGGAGGGAGGGAGGGAGAGGCTGAGCGGGACCGCGCCGAGATGGGGGCTGCCGGCGCCCGGAGAGACGGAAGCGGCGGCGCGGGGCTTCCTTACCTTGGCTCCCTTGCCCAGCAGCGCCTGGACGAATGCTCGGCCGATGCCCTGAGCCCCGCCGGTGACCAGAGCCACCTTGCCATTGACGTGCATGGCGCTGCCCGCCTGCGAGGCGCAGAGGAGCCGTCTCCCGCCTAGCCGGAGGAACAGAGCGCGGTGTCACCTGCCCCAAGTTTCCTCCCTCCGTCGCTCCCTCCCTCCTGCCCTCCCTCCTTCCCTCTTCCTCCTCCTCCTCCTCCAGCCGGTGCAGCCGCGACTCATTCCCCCTCGCGCCCCTCGCGTCCGACCCAGCGCCGAGAGCTGCCCGCGGCGGGGGGGAGGAACGGGGGTGGAGCGGGTCGTGCCCCTCTCACGCCTTCTCCGGGTGCCTGCGTGAACCCCGGGTTCGAGGGCCGGCGAGAAGAGCGGCTCCCCCTGAGGTTCTCGGGTGAGGGTCCCGGCAGCCGCTTCGGGAGCGTGGGGGGAGACGCGGCACAGTTCGAGCTTCGCGGTGGACTGCTGAGGGCTCCGGGCCGTGCGTGCTTTGCTTGGCCCGAGCTGCGTGAGCAGCTGGGGAAAACAAACTCTCTCGGAGAAAACAAACACAGAGCCTCTTCTCACCCCGCGGGTCGGCCCATCGGTGCTCTCCCCTGTCAGCAAGGAGACTCGAAGGAAAATGCAGTGACTAAACGCTGGGAACGTATCGGGATAACAGCTTTCTAGACATGGTCAGACCTGCAGATTGTGCTTCAAAAATTATTTAACTTCTTGTACAGCTGGGAAACCAGATCCTGCTATAACACAAGTTGTATCTGATTAAAAACAAATCTATCAACACCAAGTAACATATATCAATGTACATTACAAACAAGAGAAACCTTAGCAATCTAATAGCTGAAATCAAGTTTCTTGCTCATTGGTATTTTACTGGAGGTTCATGAACATTACCCAACAGAAAGCACAATACGATACAGTGTTGGGCGGATGGGAAAAATTCATCATTCTTAAGCTTAAGCTCCATAAACATACATATGTTGTGTATGCATGTGTGCGTATTAAGACTAGCTTTTCTTTCGGGGTCTGTTTTCTTTTGCACGGTGTACCAGGTTTGAACTTTTCACTTGTGTTTTCAAGGCCCTCAAGTACTCTGACTCAGACCACATCGCACCCATTACCCTCTGCGCAGTCTGCCCTTACCTCCCAGTGACAGTATATCTATTTTGTTTCTCCTCCCCATTTTCTACTACGCAGTCTTCATAATGGATGCCCTTCTTTCATTTTTTACATAGAAGAAACAAATTATATTACTCTTAACACCAGCAAACTGTTACAGAACCATTAAGGTAACAATGTTACCTAATTGAGTAAATTGAGTAACACAAGGACTTGTTATTATAACCTTTGTCCGTAAGAATGCGAACTAATGTAATCCAGCTGCTATATTGGACAGCAGCCATTTAATTTTCCTAAAGATCATGATTCACGGTGCTTCACAAAAGCAGTCAGAGCTGGCCTCTGGGATTAGTGATTTTCTTGACTGCGATACTTGTATTTCTGGGAGGACACCAGATTACATTGTGCCACCTAAACTGCCCTGCCTCACAAGGCCTTTCCCAACCAGCTGAGCCAGCTTCCCTAATTTGCTCAGAGGCGAGGACAGTGCCTGGTCAAAGCACACTGGGAGAACAGTGTTACCACATATGGACTTAATAGCATCGTAGTGGAGTCTATCACCCTGAAGACAACCCTGACAGCTTCCCCCTACCCTAAACCTTAGAACATCTGCCATGGTCTTGATTTTCATAATGTACCAATATGGTTTTAAAGTGCTATGCAAAGGAAAAGATCAATGGAAAACAAAACAAAACAAACACAACAAGAAGAAAACAAGCAACAAACCATGAATTTTCAAACTGTTGAAGTCAGAATGACCTTTGGCAGCTATTTTCTAAACTGTTGATAACTTCTGCATGAATGTTGAGAGCAAGATGAACTCTTCAGCGGTACTGGAGTGCTTTAAGATTTGAATGCATACACTGTGTCAAACAAATCTTGCAAGTCGGTGTACCAGCAGGTGGATTGGTTGGATATAATCCTGGGCATGACAGGTTGAAATTGTTTAGAAGTATTATAATAAACTAACTCAGGGTTTCTAAATATGTTTTGTTCACCGGGTGGAAGAATGGTAAAGGTCCATTATCATACTCATGCAAGAAGACAGAAAAAGCGTTCCACATCAATACACATGAACTTGGCAAAATATATTTGAAATTAGAGACACATTCTTAGCTAGCAGAGTAAGTGTCAATTCATCCAAATATAGGGAGAAATACCTGAGAGATGACACTCTGATTTACCAGTAGGCCCAGCAGAAATGATGTGGCCATAAGGGATGTGTACACTCTGCTTCTTCAGACTGGATTTGCTACTAACTCACTGCACTGAGTCTGAAGAACTTTGTCGTGACATAGCCCTTTACTAACACAGGTCTGCAATATGATCAACTGCATAAAAATTAAATATTACCCATAGAAAAAGATTTTTATAGACAATTGTATTGTTAGAAATCCAGACTTAGCATCTCTTCACATACTTCTTGATGAAATTTGGGAGGAAAGACATTTTCTACATGATCCATTTGGCGGACTTTGAATCTTGTCTTCAATGCTCATGAAAGAATAAAGAAGCACAAGAACTTCCACATTTTAGTGGTCTTTATTTTCACATAATCTGTCCATAAGAAAAACCCATATCAAACTTCATAGAAGAACTTGGAAGAATTGCTTCAACAGACAACAATGAACACTGTATTCCCAAAAAGTCCCAAGAAATATCCCAAGAAGACCCAAATATCCCAAGAAGCTGGATTGCAGAGACTGAGCACACACAATCGGTATCTTTGAAATATATGATGGAAGCCGATCTGCTCATTTAAGAAAACATTAGAGAGTTGAAACTGTTGATGCATTATTTAATCGCAAAGTCAAATAAATCATGCTATCTTTACATGTGTGTGTTCTCCTCCCCTCAACCCCCTCTCTGGAATGTACATTAACACTTGCCAGAGAGCTTTGTCATACAATATGCCAACCAGACTCGTAAATATCACAAACAGCTATTATCTGAAATCACAGGCATGAAAAGATATTAAATATTTCTAGGAATGTTTGGTTTGGGTGCTTTGAGTGACAAGTAATTCCACTCAGAAAGTCTGCACTTTCTGTTCTAATTTAAGAAGTATTAGAAACATTAAGTAATGCCTTAGATATTGAAGCAGTTCGGATTAAAATCTCCCACCTGTCTCACTAAATGCAGTGCCAAATACATATAATACTGATATGTTACTTATGTGCAGAATGGGATTTCACTCTACTGTTTTTTAATAAAAATTTTGGTTAGCAAGTTTTCATTAGTTTTGCTTTCCTTTTGAAAAGATTCTGTTGTGTGTGTTGGCTTTTTCTCTCTTCCCCTTCACCCCCCCCCCCCCCCCCCCCCCCCCCCCCCCCCCCCCCCCCCCCCCCCCCCCCCCCCCCCCCCCCCCCCCACACAGGTGACCAATGCCTCATTTCTGTGGCCATCTCCATACTCTGCGAGGTGCTATTCAAGTTGCTATGATAACTAGGTAAGTGATATCATACTACAGAATGAGCTATGAAGCAATTAATGTAAGAGGGCATTCAAGAAATTTTGCACAGCATGAATACTTCGGTATGTCCATTTCCTCACATTCTACTGAGAAGAAAAAGTGGAAAACAGAGCTAGAGAAAATGTCCCAGATGTCTAATAATGTGTGGGTTCATTGAAAGACAAATTTCAAGTCACATACTTAGTGTGGTTTTACCAAATATTCTTCAACAAGGAGCCTTGTTCAGCAAGTATAACAGTTTTTCATGTTCTAGTTGTTTTCCTGATGCCAGTTCTATATGATCACTCTGTTACACTCTAAGTTTGAAAAGTGGCAATTGCTGTGTAATGAGATGAAGTTATGCAGCTATGCTTTATTTCAGATATTATAACTGGCAATATACAGAATAATTCAAGACAGATACACTAGTTGCCAGAGGTGTCCAACTCACTTAGAGGACAAGAAACTGACTTAACAACAGGCTCAGGTATTTGCCAAAAGGCATAATTACAGCACAAAACCATATCAGCCCATGATGACTCAGAAGCTGGAATATTTTGTTCATCTAGGACAACAGCAGTACAGGCACAAAATTTTCTTATATTTGGGGACAGGAAGAGAACACACGTTTCATCAAAGATGAGTACAAGGAACTAGTAGTGAAAAATCTGCTACCAAAGGTCATACTGTACAAGTTGTTGAAGATTTCAAAACTTTCATGGTAAGATTTGGAGGAAAACATTAAAACAGTTGTGTGGTTGTCTGCTTTCAAGTACAGCAGGCAGACTGTGGGAGTAAGCATAACATATTTTATGGAAATATGATAAATAGCAATTGAAAGCAGCATTAACAGAATAGAAATTGAAGTCAATGCTTTATCAGAATATGAGAATAAGAAGGCCTTGTTTATCAGCAGAAAGAGGGTCAGAAATTAAAGACTTAGTTCATTCGCTTTATAAAGTGGAAAAGAGAAGTCACTGGGAACATTCAAAAAGGGAATGAAAACTTGTACAGTGTAATTTCCTGATCTGTAAGAAAGCCTAGAAAGTATGCAGTTTGTGTGAAAAGATTTGCCAGACCATGTGAGGAAGGCGTTACAGTAAATAAGAGGAAAGGGAAGTAGTGACTGGTTTTTAGATTGCCTTGAACTGACAAGATAGAAGAAGAAATGATGAGAGAGCCTTCTGTCACATAGCTGAAACAACAAGAAGTCAGTGGAAATATCTATTATAGCTGAAAGAAAAGTTCTGTGGTAAAGAAAACTATTCAGTTGAAACTATTCGGTGAGGAAGAAAATAATTGCTTAGTAAGTTATGGACAGGGGAGTTTAGGGATCCCATCATGGTGAGAGACTTTCAAGCACTCCAGTCCAGCATGCCCTTCTTTGCAATCCCGACATCCCAATTTTACACTCAACACTATCACAGTCAGTATTTTAGGCATAGTGAGAGTACATTTTGGAATGGCATAGGCTCGTGGAGGAGTGTGACTGTGAGTTTGAGCACGCGTTGCCAATGCTGCACAGGCCTTGCCTGCAGGCAGCTCTGCCAGGCCAAAAGCTTCTTGAGGCAGTAGCCAGGTTCTAAATGACTGAGGCAAGATTGAATGCTAAAGTATGCCCTGCCCTCTCTCTATCTGATATAATTATAGGAGGACCTTTAAAACCCTGTATTTGGCAGTGTCTTTAAACACCGCAGCAGCATGGCAGCTGGCAATAAAAACAAAACAAAAATATGCGAACCCCTCCCATGCCTCTTGCAGCTTTGGCAACACACTTTGCAAAGGACTGTCTAGCCTATTCATTTGATTACCAGCTCATTAAGCAATGCAAATATCTAAATATTTGGAAGGAAATGGCTGCATGCCTAAAGTGCAAGGTTTCTTAAAAAGTTAATGTGATTGATTAAAATCAGACCAGCCACGCAATAGGGAACTTATGTTTCTGAGAACTGTACAATTCTAGTGTAGCCCAGGATAGTCTGTCTCCTTAAAGGATTGTAACTATTAGATAAAGCACATTCTCTTAATTATTGGTTGAAATGT